GTTTCACCATCTTTCAGTAGGACAGCACATTTGCCAAGAATAAAGTTTATACCAAATCTTCAAGGATTTTTTTTACCAGGGCTTCTTTGAGTCACAACCATATAGGTCAGGGCAATGTTATTTCTCTGGATCTACTAAATCAAAATCTGCAGATTCTACTTCAATAGACAATTACACCTGCAGATTTTTCATAATTACAAGTCTTAATACTTGCAGTATCATATCTACCATCCCAAATTAAAAAAAAAAAGAAATCAAGACGGGAAGGAAGGATGGAAGGGAGGAAGGGCAGAAAGACGGGAAAGAAAAAGAAAACACTGAAAATAGCATTCAAGGATTACATTTGAGGTTTTGGCTTATATATCATGAAACACAATGTGATGCTCAAAATATTAGAGCTTTTATTTCAGAAGAAACTGTTGATTTGAACCCACCCACAGTTGATGAAAAATGGAAAATTAAATAATTATATGCTTCTAATTACCCATTTTCCCTTTAAATGCCCACATAAAGGGATATTTATTTATTCATTCATTCATTCATTTAAAAAGAAGAATGATACAGAAAGAGGGAGAAACAGAGAGAGATCTTTCATCCACTGGTTCACTCCCCCAAATGGCTGCCATATGGTCAGGGATAGGCCAGGCTGAAACCAGGAGCCTAGAGCTCCGCTCAGGTCTCTTGTGTGTGGCAGACACTTGGGCCGTCTTCTGCTGCTTTCCCAGGGGCATTAGTAGGGAGCCAGATTAGAAGTAGAGCAGCTGGGACTCAAACCAGCACTCTGACATGGGACTCCAGCATTGGCATCCGTGGTTTAACTTGCTGTGCTTCAACGCTAACCTCACGAATTTTTTTCTGTTTTCTATTTGCATGTTAAGCCCACTACCATTCTTGAACCGTCTCTGCCTCACCACAATGTAATCAAAAAGAAAAATGTTGATTGAGCAATGGCTATTTGCTTCTGATGTAGCCTTTCTTTAAATTTAGGAAGTTATTGGGCCATTTCATTCCACTTCATTAACAGAATTGGTATCCACTTACCTATGATTTGTTCTCTACAGTGAAAAAAATCAGAGATATTACACAGGAGGTATAGTAGGCTGACAGTTGTCAAGGTTGCTCCCAGAGCCATTAAAGGCTCCTTTTATGCTACCCAAACGCAGATTGTAAAACCCATTCAAGTTATCCAGAAACCCTAAGGTTATAATGCTGCTCATTTATGGAATGCTTTTATTCAAGAATTCAAAGTGCTGTGTAGGAAATCATTGTGACAAAAGCTTCCTTACCTAATTACGAAGTGTTGCATGCATGTATAGTTAATTTGGGGCAGAAAACATGTAAGTAGTTAATCCATGTGAAGAAATACAATATTATATTGATTATACCTTGATTTGAACACATTACAGGTTGTTATTGTTTTTTTAATTTTTTTAAGAAAATGGTTAACATTTATGTGTTTGTCCACACATTTTTGCTACATAGAGCTAAGAGCAATTTATGGATGAACATATTCATAGAGTTCAATTAACCTACAACTCATGCACAAGAGTTAATAGACTCCTATAAATCATCAGCTAATTTATTCATCCTGTCATCTGAATAAATATTGCAAGCCATTTCTGGAGCGAGGCAGCTTCTCTCCGTTCCTCTTCTATTTGGCCTGAGCTTGTGCGGCAGTGCCTCTGAGCCCCTGTCACTGGAAGGAAAGAGTTATTCGTTCTTTTATAAATAAGAGCACAAAGTCTTTCTCTCTGTATTAGCTTTTTTACCCAGCTAAATGAATTATTTAGTTAGAATGAGAATAGCACTAAATTCATTGATCTTTACCTACTTAAAAGAAGAGCAAACAGAAATTTCGAAAAGACGGATGCAATTCTCCATTCCATGCATAGAGACTGCAGGAATTGGAGGTGAAGAGGACGCAGCTGCATTTCTTAACTTTTGAATGAAAAGCAATTATGCCAAGAGCCTTCATTTTAGATTGTCAGCATGGGCCTGTGTCATACCCATCCTGACACTCCCAAACTGAAGATTTTAAAGGCCTCCTGCCTTTGTCATTGAGACACCTGTCACCAACTACACTGAATCAGCATCTCTAGATGCTGGGAAATACATATTCAACATGAATCTATGTAAGACACAACAGTAGGGAGGCTGGAATTCTTCAGAATCCTTAAAGGGGAAAAAATGAAAGAAAATGTAAGCCTAAAAAAGAAGCTGAAGTTGTAAGGAAATTTTCCACCCTATAAAATATACTTCTAACCCCATTTTCATTTGTTTGCAATTGAAGTCACTAATCTCAATGTGATGTTAAGAATGTAAAATCCTGCCAATTCTTTTAAAACTATTTTGTCTATAAATACGACTCAAAGAATGTCTTAGATAAAAATGTGTTCCTCTATGGAGTGTTTAGCCATTTGGATGTATTTGTATAGCAAATATATAAACATGTATTTCTGAAGGCCTTGTTCTTATTTTACAACAGAATAATAATTAATGAGGTTGAAATAATTCACCATCACATAGTCTGTTCTTTAGGAAATATGACAAAAGAAAAAGAAACTGATTTTTTTTTTTTTTTTTTGGACAGGCAGAGTGGACAGTGAGAGAGAAAGAGACAGAGAGAAAGGTCTTCCTTTGCCATTGGTTCACCCTCCAATGGCCGCTGCTGCCAGCACACTGCAGCCAGCACACCGCGCTGATCGGAAGCCAGGAGCCAGGTGCTTCTCCTGGTCTCCCATGGTGTACAGGGCCCAAGCACTTGGGCCATCCTCCACTGCACTCCTGGGCCACAGCAGAGAGCTGGACTGGAAGAGGAGCAACCGCAACAGAATCTGGCGCCACAACCAGGACCAGAACTCGGGGAGCCAGCACCGCAGGCGGAGGATTAGCCTACTGAGCCGCGTCGCCGGCAAAAACTGATTCTTTACAGTACTAGAAAACTTTTTGTACTCTCTCCATGTTATATCTCTTTTTCAAATACATTTATTATTCATTCACACCCTCTTCATCCTTGTCTTCCTGCTTAGGATCACATCCATGAGTCAATTGCAAACGCAGTGCTCATTTCCCGCTTACTCAAGTATATCAAGATATTCAATTTATGATTTCTGAATTCAAAAGAGACATCTCCCAGAACTCCAAGTGTCACCTAGAAGAACTCAGAGTTTTATAGTTCAACAGCTTAGCTATCTTTCTAAAGGAAGACTAATAATTTTAATCCCTTATTAGCTATTTGATAGCAAGCATAAAAATATATTCAATGTTAAAAATTAATAATTTTATATAACCAGTAGAATAACAAAATCAAATACATAATATAGTATGAGTTCAAAATCCAATTCTTTAAAGTATAAGATTTTATCTCTTGGGGCCAGCACTGTGGTGTAGCGGGAAAAGCTGCAGCCTGCAGTGCCAGCATCCGATATAGGCGCCAGTTTGAGACCCAGCTGCTCCACTTCTGATTCAGCTCTCTGCTATGGCCTGGGAAAGCAGTAGAAGATGACCCAAGTCCTTGGGCCCCTGCACCCACATGGGAGACCCAGAGAAAGTTCCAGGCTCCTGGCTTAGGATCAGCAGAGCTCTGGTGTTGCGGCTAATTTAGGAGTGAACCAGCAAATGGAAGACCTCTCTCTCTGTGTAACTCTGACTTTGAAATAAATAAATAAATCTTTAAAACAAAGATTTTATGTGCTATCAATATTAGGAATATGGTAATAAACAGATCTTCAATTGTAGTCTATTTTTAGCTTGACAAATCAACAGCCAAATTACTAAAAAATAAATTTTTAGATTAAAGGAATATTTCAGGAATCCTTACAAAGCACGCATGTTTACAATTAAATTTTAATAACTCTTGACACCAAATGAAACAACAAAATTATAGCATTAGTTCAGAACTTCAGACATCAAACTCCATTGGAATGCAGAGGAAGTACAATCCATTTATTCACATGGCAAAACCATGATGGGAAAAATTAGGAATAAAAGAATTTTTGGCAGCAAGTACTTGACAATATGTCTGAAAGTTCAAGCCAATAATATTTTATCATGTAGAATACAATTTTCATCCATTTTCTTCTAGCACTGGCAACGGTTTATTTATTAACTTACTAAAACACCTTAGTGGTTCTAATTTCTTCTACTTTATTCAACAGAATCTATTTAATTGAAGACATTAATGTGATTAATGTCCAGTCACCAACGCATGAGATCATAGACGTGATACTCTCTGATATGAAACAATCAACTTTGCATTTCATTCTTTCATTTCTATGAAACTAGAAATTTTGGGCAAGTAGTGGAGTTAGACAAATGGAATATTATTTTTTCCTCATCTGTCATACTAGGGTAGACAAGAGTTTGCATGTTATACAATATTCACGTTTCCTTCTTCTTGGGCCTATATAGTTCAGCCTAAATGCTATTTTGAGTTTCATTTGATGACCAATCCTAGTACTTATCAAACAATGCATTGATTGTGAATGAATGATTAAAGCTTAAGCTCTCTCTTAAGGTCAATGAACTGGAAGCCAAGAAATTACCAGACTAGATATTGAAACAAAAAACAACATAGGGGCTAGTACCATGGCAACCTGCAACATCAGCAGGCCATATGGTCATCAGTTCAAGCCTGGTAGCTCCGCTTCTGATCCAGCTCACTGCTAATGCACCTGGGAAAGCAACAGAAGATGGCTCAAGCACTTGGGCCCCTGCACCCACATGGGAGACCTGGATGAAACTCTTGGCGCCTGACTTTGGTCTGGCATAGCCCTGGCCATTTCAGCCATTTGGGGAGTGAATCAGCAAATGGAAGATGTCTTTCTCTTTCTCTCTCTCTCTCTCATTTTGCATTTCAAATAAACAAATAAAAATCTTAAAAAAAAAAACACAAAAGAACCTAAGATTTTTTTGAACACTCCTATGAATTTTATACATTCATTATCTAGATAACAAAATGGAAAATCAAAGAACTTACACAATAAATACTTAGCACTGACCTGATTAAAACCAGGATAAGTTAAAACCCAATGTTTGGGGCCGGCGCCATGGCGCAGCAGATTAATCCTCCGCCTACGGCGCTGGCATCCCATATGGGTGCCAGGTTCTAGTCCTGGTTGCTCTCTGCTGTGGCCTGGGATAGCAGTTGGAGGATGGCCCAAGAGCTTGGGCGCCTGCATCCGCGTTGGAGACCAGGAAGAAGCACATAGCTCCTGGCTTTAGATCAGCATAGCTCCAGCCATTGCAGCCATCTGGAGAGTGAACGAACAGAAGGAAGACCTTTGTCTCTCACTGTCTGTAACTCTACCTGTCAAATATACAAATAAAAATCTTAAAAAAAAAAAACAATGTTCCCACAATTCAAATCATTGTATTTGCTTAATATTTTTTTTATTTTGATATTCAAGTAATAGTTGGCTCTCGCAGGTTGAAAATGCTATCATTATATGAAATTACTTTTTAAAAATAATTTATAATTTTGTTTTTAGTGTAAATAAGCAAAATAACACTTTTCCAATGACACTCATGTCCTAATCCCTGAAACTAGTGAATAAAGGGAGACACTAAAAAGTTCATGGAAAATGGAATTAAAAGATAACATGGGATGGGTGTTTGGCTTAGTGAATAAGACACTGGCTAGGATTCCACATTCCACACTGAAGTACTTCAATTCAATTCCTGGATCTCACTCCTGACTCCACCTTATTGCAAATGTAGACCCTGGGAGGTAGCAAACATAGCTCCGGTAGTTGGTGTACTAAAACCCACATGACAGACTGGATTGAGTGACTGGCTCCCAACAGCCTATGGCTGTTATAAGCACTGGGAGACAGAAGCAGCAGATAGGAGTACACTCTCGCTTTCTTTTTCTCTCTCTCCTTCTCTCTGTTTTTCCCTTTCAAATAAAAAAAAGTGTTTATCAGTGTTAAAATTTTTAATTCTTGTAGAGCTTTTTAATGGTATACATTTTTCACAGTCTTTTTAAAAATCCCTCATATGTATATTTCAAAAAATTGTACCAATATGAACTTATCTTTTTTAAAAATATTTTTTATTCATTTGAAAGGCAGAGTTAGAGAGAGGCAGAGGCAGAGAGAGAGAGAGAGAGAGGTCTTCCATCCACTGGTTCACTCCCTAAATGGCCGCAACAATCGTAATTCAACGGATTTGAAGCGAGGAGCCAGGAGCTTCTTCTAGGTCTCCCAGCTGGGTGCAGTGGCCCAAGGACTTGGGTCATCCTCTACTGCTTTCCCAGGCCATAGCAGAGGGTTGGATCGGAAGTGGAGCAGCTGTGACTTGAACAGGTGTCCATATGGGATGCTGGCACTGCAGGCAGCTGCTTTACCGGCTATGCCACAGGGCTGGACCCTGAACTTATCTTTTAATTTCATTCTCACAAACTTTTTGAAGTCCACTTCAATATAAAAAGGAATTTTGCCTTTGCAGATGCGATTAAGGATACTGGGGTGGAAGGCTTATCTTGGATTATCCTGTTGAGCTAAATGAAGTTATAAGGGTTTTACAAGGGGTGGAACAGAAATGTTAGGGTAGGAGAGAGATTCACAATTGCTACACTGTTAGCTTGTTAGCTTGGAAGATGGAAGAATGGGTAACCAAGAACTAAGGAACAAAGACAGCCTCTAGATAGTGGAAAAGACTAGGGCCCAGATTTCTTCCTAGAGTCTCCAGAAGGCTCTGCTATCTCTGTTGGACTATGTTGAACTTTGATTTTAGCCCAGTAAGAGCCAATTTGGGCTTCTGACTTTCAGAACTGTAAGATAATAAATGCACTGTAAGATTTTTATCTTAAATGAACTGTAAGATAGTAAATAAATAATTTGGAGTCACTACATTTTTTAGCAACTTTCTTCAGTGAGCTTAGGAAATGCTGTGGTTTAGGGCTTTTTACAGGTACTGCTTTCCTTTGGTCTTCGTAATGAGGCCCCAGTAAGCTTATGAGCATCATCATCGGCCTCAACATTTGCACTTGGGACATGAGGAGAAACAGGGCAACATCATTTGGCTCTGTATGCAGTGTTTATTTGACCCTCAACTCTGCTATGAAGACCATTCTGTGCTTTATTACTGTAATACCTTCCCAGATTATGTTACAAATTGGAAATAACAGTATGTCAATTATTTAACAAAATTTCAACTCTCTGTATCCACTTAGATACAATTAATGAGCCAAAAGAGACCAATCATATCAGTTTTAACTGCCTGGCCTTCGGATTAGAGCAACTTTCTGCCTTCTTGCTTCAGAAAGGTCACCATAATTCTATTTTAATATCCTAAAGATCACAAAACATTTAAAATGCTTCCCTGAAAATTTTGAAAGCTCTCAAAACCCAGTAAGGTCAATAAAGAATTATCATTTAACATTTGTTAAGTACCCACAGTCTGGAAAATATCATACCAGACAAAGAAAAAGAGACAAACATGCCCAAGGAATTATGAGCACTTCTTTTAAAGAAAATAACCCTCACCTGTAGGTTCCAAGAGGCGATAATTCTGATTGATCAGAAGTAATTGACTCTGCAACCTGATTACTACCAACAAGCCCTGATGAAAAAGCCACACTGATCTCCATTCCTGGTTAAAATGTCGAGGTCTACGATTAGACTACAGGAGTCAAAGATCTGAACTATTCTCTGATCATTTTGAGAGAAAGGTCAGTGTATTATGGTATGTACTTGGGTAATAGCCTTGCAAATTTTGTGAAAATGATTTTCTCATCCTCTGTGCTTGTGACTAATCTCTGAATTATTTTGGATACTGATGATGAAGAAAGTTTTAAGCTTCATGTTATAGGAGATAGAATAATTAGTCAGGTCCTTCTTCCAAGGATATCACCACCTAGTGGAAGAGAGAAAAATATCTATATATGCATATGCATCTGCACATGCTTCTCACACTGCTTAGCAGAATATTGTCAAATTAAAGAGCCTTTAGACATGACTAATTGTGTAATTCCAAACAAGGAAGAGTGTCATAAGGATTATCTAAGAAGTACAAATAAAATGCTATATCATACATTAAAAGTTTCCTATTATTTGAGGTATGGATAGCTTATAAAATTGCCATTAGCTAAATTATAAAACAAAGTTTGGACCCATATAACTTGCCTAAGATCAAAAACAATGAAAATTGAAAAAAACCAAGAAACTTTTAAAATTTAATGAACTTTTGGCTTGACTTTAAAAAACTCCCCACAAGGATATGGTGACAGAAATTTGCAGCTCCTCCCCTTCATGTCAGAGGAGAAGCTGAATCCCAAGAATTAATTTGAAAGTCATGCCATTTCCCATCCAACAGAGAAAACAACCATTAAAAGCTCCTGTGGTTCTTTGTATTGATGCCAGACTCCAAGTACCCCTGCATTGCACAATATTTCTAACCCACTGGCAGCACACAGCTTGGATAATGGAAGAAATATTCCATCCTCAGTTTAGGTTTAAATTATGCTATCTTCAGTTTGAGTTTAAATTAAGCTATCTTCAAGATAGAAGAAAAGAATTTAGAAATGTGGGATGGACAAGGCTAGATATCTTATGTATAACATTAAAACTGTAGGCAATGCATGTGTACTGGAATTCTTGCTACATGTCTATATGCTCTAGACAGAAAAAATAAATAAATAACCTTGTGAGATGATGGACATGAAATTCATTTGTATTCCATGACATCATGATTTTATACTTCAAATATACAAAATGAAATTTATTTAAAAAAAACTTTCTATGATGAATTTTTAAACAGATTATCTAAAAATCAAAACCAGTGTAAAGGAGGAAGAAACATAAAATGGAAGGATTCACTTAGCCCTTCCCTGGGAAGGGAAGCCTGGGAGATGGATGTTGCAAACACATGCCCACCTAGGAAGACTGAGTGTCTTTGAGCTTGGGGGACAAAGAAGGAAAGAAAGCATTAAGGTACAATGTCAGGGTGGATAGCATTTTCCAGAGGGAGAGGGCATCAAGTTTCAGGCCGAGTAACCTGAAAGGGTAAAGAATATAATCAAGAAAATATGTGTCGGAAAAGGAGAAACTAACCATGAGCACTCACGTCCTTCTTAAGATGAATCACTAGGTGGGTTAAGGAGGAAATCCAAACTGCTGTAACTTCTTTATGAGACTTCCCTGACTTCCTATACCTGCAGTAGGGTGCATTAGTCTTCTGGGGGCTTCGTGGTGGGGTGCAAAACCAAATTACTGTCAACTCTATCTACTCATTTCAAGACCCCATCAATGAAAGACTACCAGCCCACCCAGTAGATGCTAACATCAGCATACATCAACACCAAAGAGCATCAATAGACAAATGCATAACCACAGAGAATCATTTTTGAAGCCATATGAAGTCATTTAACCTTAAATTTCTGAATACCTAGTAAAGTAGATTTCCCTGAGAAAATCTGGGGTGGGGGGGTAGAGCACACACAAGAAATCTTTACATAAACAATAATGGCAATAGACTCACATTCTGAAACAGAGATCCAAAGACTTTATTTGGTTAGGGGTTTTTGGTGTGCTTGTATTCTCTGTAATTCCATTTACTGTGTTCCCTCCATGGTTAAAATTACATATTGAGGCTGATATTTCTTAAGAGGAGAACTAAACTAGGAAAACAATGTGTTGAATTCTAGATCTTAACTGCCAGAATGGATTTTTAAAACTATAACATAAGGGGCCGGTGTTGTGGTTCACTTGGCTAATCCTCCACCTGCAGTGCCAGCACCCCATATGGGCGCTGGGTTCTAGTCCCGGTTCCCCCTCTTCCAGTCCAGCTCTCTGCTGTGGCCCGGGAAGGCAGTGGAGGATGGCCCAATTGCTTGGGCCCTGCACCTGCATGAGAGACCAGGAGGAAGCACCTGGCTCCTGGTTTTGGATCAGCGCAGTGCGCCGGCTGCAACGCACCAGCTGTAGCAGCCACTTGGGGAGTGGACCAATGGAAAAAAGAAGACCTTTCTCTCTGTCTCTCTCTCTGTCTCACTGTCTAACTCTGCCTGTCAAAAAAAAAAAAAAAGAAAGAAAAAAAGAAAGTTCACACAGATTGGAAGAGGGAGAGTGTAGAGATGAGGAGAGTGGCAATAAGATTGGCCTTGTATGGGTATTGAGATAGTTCATCCTTAAACAAAGGCAGTGAAGTATGGTGGTTGATTATAGTGTGCTTCCAATAATTTAATTTATTTTATTATTTTGTTGAAATACCGTTTTAATTTCAGTTTCTAATTTTTTTTCCTTTGGCTTTCATCTTTCTGATCAGTTTTCTGAATAGTCTACTAAATGGTCAAGAAAATCTTAAAGTAGGCATGTCAATA